GTACATTTTAGCGAATATTCTCCTACTAACACAATGACTTATTATGTGAAAACTCATTTCCCCCCAATGTTATCTACCCCTTCTTTTGAAGATCAAACTTACAGTCATATCTTGATACTGGACTGCTTTGAAACTCTTCACATTTGGTATGTGACACATTATGAATAAAATATTCCCCTAGTGCTCTTCATTTGCTTCATACTATATGTGCAAGCTAGAATCTGTTGATGTCAATTGCCTCATTACTTGTTACCCTTTCCAGCAAAACAATTTGGTACTTGGCATTTTGGTACTTGAAATGCCTCCTGAAAGCAACCAACAACCAGTACCAAGGTATCACTGTACTTCTGATTGTTACTATTCATGTGTTAGACTATTATGTCAGTTTCCCAAGCTGAAGTAAGGAGAAATGCTAGTCTTCTGATTGGCCAGCACAATGCTCATAAAGAACAGCCTTGGAGGCATTCATTTCAACCCTTTTAACTGTCTCCTTGTATCCTGCCTCTCATCTGTCCATATGTAAAGGGCCAGATGAAAATATGACTGAATATATCTTTTCATTCTTGTTTTAATGCCTATGTTTTGGTTGTGAATTACAGACAACTGAAGCTTTTTTCATAAGCTTAAGATGTATAGAAATTATAGGACAAGATTTGGCAAGAAATATGGCAGGAGAACATTGAGACTTTGCTTACAGTATCAATTGTCAATTGGATGATGAAATCATGACAGAATAATAATATTTGCTGATATTTATGAAACACTGCAATGCAGGTACTGTGCTTAGGACTATATTCTCTAACTTAATCTTCGCAAAAGCTCTAAAAGGTGGGCATTATTACTATATATGTTTAACCTGATTGAGATTTTGAGAAATCAAGTAAGATATCCAAAGCCAAGCAGCCAAATGAATCAGTCATTAAGACAGTGACTGGAGTTGCCACTATGAAGGCTTCACCAAAACCATTTCTCTCTTCCACTGCTGGATAATAAGTGGAGGAGCAGAAATGGATGCCAGGGTAGAAATGGTAGTTCTCAAAAAGCAGGCTTGATTTGAATGATTTAAAAGACATGGAACAGTTTTTGAAATCCCTGACATGTGTACTTCGTGACAGCAACATTCTATATAGAGTAGAATTCCGTGGAGATTCAAACCAGGCCCACACTGGCATGCTCCTGGATCACACGTAACATACCAGTCCAGATTTCTGCTGACAATGAACTGGAGAAACATACAATTGCTTTTGCTTCAGCATCATGGAGAAAAAGGGCCTGAATGGGATCCCATAAAGCTGAAAACCAATGTGGAGGAAGGGAACTGACCCCAAACCAGCAGACCCAGCCTGACACCGAATTCCTTCCAGTTACTTGCCCTTCCAACTCTCTTCTGAAGGAATGATGTGCTGTCAGTAACTCTCCCTATATTAATTCCAAGATGTAGTGATGAACGTATTTCCCACTGCTAAACTGTGATAAGTTAGACCGTTTGTGGTAAGGACTGAAGAGTAAGTACAAAGAACAAGAAAGAAAGAATAAAAAATTCTGCTGCAGTTAGATCTAGAATTCAAGGGTAGTTATTGTACAGAGTACTTGTGAGAATCCTAAAATATTCCACAAAGAATAAGAAGAAACAGGTATGGTGGTGAAAAGAACTCTCCTTTTTCTAGTCCTCCCTCACAACAGACTATGATTAAAACATAGTAATCAGATATTTTTTTATTCTTAAATTGGTACATTTTAGGTATACAATACGTTTACATTTATCATTGGGTGTTTGTACCTGTACATGATGTATCTTGGTTCTTATTTTTTCCTCTAATACCTGTGCGCCCTTCACCCCCTCCACTCTTCCCTATTTACATAGATTTCAATGGACTAGAAATATCTTAATAAAACTGTGAGGAAGAGGTAGACTTAGCTTTCCATTGCCTTTCTCCTTGTGAACACTTTGTGATAGGAACTGTTATGTGACACCAAGCACAGTCAATTTACCATCATCATTGGTGACATGGAACTAATACTAGCTCAGCATATAGTGTACGAGGACTAAAGAAGTGGTCATGTGTATAATTTATATATTTCAATGTCTAGCACATATGAAGAAAAGGTGTAATTATGGATTATTATTATTACTTTTGTAGTTAAAAGAAGATATGGAAGAAACTATTTTCAGGCAACTGTTTTACTCCAAAGCTTCTTGAAACACTGAGTAGCACTAAATAGGGGGTCCAAAGCCTAGTTCTTGCTGTTATTTTAATAAACCAAATTCCCTTAACCAATAACTTACACTTTCAGATTTCAGTTTTCTAACATCATAATGAAAACATTAGCTGAAAATATCCAAGATTGTCTTAGCTTTAAATTTCTACTTGTATTATAATAAAGGGTCAATTTACTATTAAACCTGGCCCTACTTTAGATTTTTTTTTTTGTATTTTTAAATAGCTGGATCATACTTCAGAGGTTTTCTCTCTCTGTAATGTGAAACTATGAATTTGAGATTAAAGAGAATGTAACAAGAGAGTGTAGCCTTATGTCAATTTCCTTATACAGCCTGAATTGAACAGCACTATTCTAGGCAAAGTCCCCAGTGGCTCTCAGCTTTCCACCTGAGCATATCTGTGGAAGGCAACTAAACACATGTTTGTCCAGTCACCAATATGGTAATGCTGTTTTGAAGTTGTGCTTTTATCTAGTTTCTGAAAACTACCTTGTGCTCTCTAAGCCACACATAAAATGAATCCTTCACCAATGGTGACAAAAATGACTGGTGTAAAGAGAAGTGTAGTAAAAGGGAGATAAGTGATTCAACAATAACTCACACATGAAAACAATTTAACCATACAGTAAAAAAGACATGGGCTAAAGAGCGGCCCATGTCTAATATCTGTATATCTATCTAAACTACATTTTTCTCCCGTGTGGCTTTCATTAAATAAACAAATGTACATTTAGTTTCAACTCTCTGCTAGGCACTGAGGAATACAATGATGAATCAAATATAGATATGTTTTCAGGGAGCCAACAGTTAATAAGGGGCATAATTATGACAGGAAAGAAAAGGGCTCATTTCCTAGATTAGCATCAGGGAAAGCACTGAGCATGTCCATAGCTAAGGGAGATGTGTTCTATTAGGAAAGTCAGGGAGCCTTTGTGCTACGTTTCATTCAGGTGTAAATGTGTGGGAAGGAGTCTCAGGATGTAAAGAAGAAAGCACCTAGTTGCACTGGTTTGGAATGTAGGATCAGGGCAGTAAAGAAATACTAGCACAGAGGGTAAAATGCTAAATTGAAGTACACTGCACCTAGACCAAGAAGGCTGGGTAAGGGGCTTGAAAGTTATTCGCTAAGCAACAGGAAACCATTAAAAACAGTTCAGCCAAAAGAATGCATTATTATAGTTGGGCATTAGAAAGATGATTGTCAAAAGAGAGAAAAACAAGAGAAATAGGGGACCAAAGTCCAGTTTGGAGACTGTTTCAACAAACTATAGAAAAGTAGCAAGGGACTGAACCAGGGTAGTAACAGAAGGTTTGGGGATGATGAGACCAGGGCTACAGAGATTAGAAGTCTACCTGTTAGACACTTTTCTTTGGCCATGCAGGCTGAGGAGCAAGAGGATCAGCCTGGGGAGATGGCAGTACAAAGAACATAAGCTGGAAACAGGATGATTACAGACATTTAGAGATTTGAATGCGAGATTCTGAGAATGCCCAGATTGAAGGGATCAAAAGACCAGTTCAAACTGCACAACTAATATTCTAGAATGAAAGTAGAGCTGGTATAGATTTGTTGGTTATTGGAGTGGATGGAATGCATAACTGAATATGTGTGACTAAATGATATTGTCAAGGGAGATGTCAAAAAGAGAGGAAAAGAAGAACACAGTAGCCTCCCCCCTTATCCTCAGTTTTGACTTCCATGGTTTCAGTTACCTGTGGTCAACTACAGTCAGAAAAAATTAAATGGAAAATTTCCTCATAGTGCCTAGCAGAGAGCCTTGCACGGAGCCAAAACTGTATTTTAAATCATTCACCATTCAGAGTAGTTGATGAAATCTCACACCAACCTTCATCCTGGCATGAATCATCCCTCTGTCCAGCAAATCTATTCTGTGTATGCTGCTGCCTTGTTCTATAAGTAGCTGTTTCAGTTATCAGATTGACTGCTATAGTATTGAGGGAGGAGAGAAGGTCCTGACACTAACCAAGTAGTACCATTTATTTTTCCATGACTGCCTCAAATGCCTTGCAGCCAGGCCTGCTACATCAGTTACTCTATAGCCACTCTGGGAGACATTTGCTTTGGCTGGACCAGGGATCCATTGAGGACTTCCCCCAGACTCTTCCCTCTGCAGTCTCTCTGGATGGCTCCACCCCTCTGCACCCTTCCCCAATTAGATTTAGGAGGAGCCCCTACCCCACCCCTGACCCACCAGAAAGTCTGAACACGTCACATGCTCAAGCCCACCTTTTTTTCCTTACAAGTAACTTCCCTAAATCATCTGAGGGTTCAATCTATATGCCATTCTCCCTTACGCTGGAGAGTAAGTCCTAATGAAGCTTTTTGATGGCATATTCTCGTTCATTTGTGATTTCTATATCAGGTGGAGAATGCTGAGCCATTACTCTAAGAGCTGGTCACACCAAAGGCCCCTGGTACTACTGAAAGAGGCCAGCACTAGAGCTGATAACACTAAAGACTACCAGTGCCACAAGAAGTCAGCAGCCAGAGCTGGTAAAATTGAGGACAGGAAACAGCAGAGACTGGCAGGGAGTGGTAGAGAACTGCAAAAGCCACCATCTCCAGTAGTCATAAGAGTTCCAAAGACCTGCTGGTGGTTGATGGCTCCCCCTGATGAGGAGGGCCACTAACCCTAGGAGTTCATCACCACTGGCACACAAAGCCCGGGGCTGTTAAAACTAAAAACAAAAAAAAATAACAACAACAAAAACCCTTTTATTTTACCAATTTGTGACTTCTGTATGAGTTGAGCAAGAACTTTCAGTGGATTGGTAACATCTTGGAAGCCCACATGGAGACCCTCTCCTCTAGAGGGCGCTAAAGAAGAGCATGGACAATGCTGACAGATAAGCAGCTCAAAATCAAACCTTTCCACCTTACATACAGCTAAGAATCCACACCAGCCTGTTACAGTCTCATAGCACGTATGTTCATATCATCCTTATTTTACCTAATAACAGCCCCAAAGCACAGGACGATGATGCTGGCCATTCAGATGTGTCAAAGAGAAGACATAAAATGCTTCCTGTAAGTAAAAAGGTAAAAAGAAGTACAAGCATATTCACACAATTTTCATTAGACTGTATCACTATAATTATTTTTTATTACTAGTTATTGTTGTTAATCTGTTTTTCTTTTTCTTTCTTTCTTTTTTTTTTTTTTTTTTGGTGCAGTACTGGGGATTAAACCCAGGTCCTCTCTCAAGTGCTCTGCCACTGAACACTGAGCTACACCTCAGCCTTTTTTAGATTTTGAGATATGATCTCACTAAGCTGCCTAGGCTAGCTTTGAACTTGGAATTCTCCTTCCCCAGCCTCCCAATGAGGTGGATTACAGGTCAGTACTACCATGCCCAGCTTGCTGTTAAATTTACTATTCCAAATTTATAAGTTAAAGTGTACCATAGAAGTACAAGTAGTAGAAAAAACATGACATATATATGGTTTGGTATTTTCATAGTTTTGTTAGTTTACTGGGGATTTTATAATGTATACTCCATGGACGAGGAAGGACTACTGTATAGACATGTTTAAGGAGAAGAAGGAGAAAGAGGGAAGAGAGAGAGAGAAAGAGAGAGAGAACAGAGGAAAAAGAACTGAGAAGCAAAGTGTCACAAGATAAGAGAAGAGCATATTAAGAAGGATATAATAATAATAAACAGTAGTGCAAACTGGTTTGAACTTTATTCTGTCACAACCAGGTAACCACATGGCTTTCCTGGGAGAATTTTCTTTTGTCTGAAGAAACAGGGAAGACTGCAATAAATTTAACCAATGAAATAACTCTGCATTCCAGCTGATCTCTTTCATTTTTTCTCTGTTCCATACTTTCATGTACAAGTCTTTTTGTGGATATATATATATATATATATATATATACACACACATACTTTTTTCATTGCTCTTAAGTAAATATATCGGAATGGAATTTCTAGGTTTACATTATCATGTAATTTAATTTTTGCAAGTACCTAATGAAAGATCAAGATTATTCGCATATGTCTTCAGCACATATTCTTTTCTGAGGACTCTAGTACAAAGTATGCCTGAACCTTTCTCACATATGGTATTTCATCAAAGCTGTTTCCCATTCTTCCCAATCTGTCTTGCTGCTGAGTGACAATGAGGAAACTAGATTAAGGGATCTGTGCTAATGTTATTTGACTCATTCCACCAGCCCGGACAGCATATTCCACAGTGCAATGTGAGTGCACTGTTTATACTTTTAATATTATCTATCACACAGCTGTTCTGTATGATGAAGCAGTAATCACAGTACTATCTGTTAGGACTATTTATTTAATAAATCTTTATTAAATAAATATTACATGCCAGGTATTGGGGATGGAGAAGTGAACTACAGACTCAGTTACTGTTCTCATGTAGCTTTCTATTTAGATAAGGGGAGATAATAATCAGAGAACCATGTTAACAAATGTACTCCTACAAATTCGAATAGGTGCCCCAGAAAAAAGCAAAACTTTTTTAATGAAAGTATGTCATAAGCAAACCCAATCAAAATATGAAATCAAGATGGGCTTCCTCGAAGAAATAATGCTTGAGGTGAGACGTGAGGACGAGGTCAGAATCACAGGTGAAGCAAAGTTACACAGCGGTCTCCCTCCAGACAGAGAGAAGAGCATGAGTGAACTTGCACATATGTGGAACAAAAACACCAAGGCTGACACACAGAAAGCGAGGTGGAGAGAGTGGGATTGGACTCCAATAGCAGACACAAGGTCTTCTAAGCAACATTAAGGAGTTTTATCTTTGTCCTAACAGAAATGGGAAGTTATTGAGATTCAAACATGACAGAACATAATAGAACTTGTGTTTTTGGAAAGATTTCTCCAGATGAAATATGAGCCATTTTTAGAAGAAGACCAAAGTGGATGAGAGGTACAGGAAGCATTTTCAGAAATCAAGTAAGGGACACAAAATAAGGCAGTGGAGGTGAAGAAATTGATTTGTGAGATATTTTTTTAAGAAATCAAAAGGCTGTTGGGGTGGACTAACAGTAACTCCTAGTTTCTGGTCTATGCAATGCTTGTCACACAATTAATGTTCATTAAATATCAGTAACAGTAGTTGTTATTGTTGTAGTAATTTTACTATCATGGTCATTATCATTACTTATAGAAATTTCTAGTGAAGAATCTGTCTGGTAGCCTAGCATAAAGGAACCCAGAAAAGGCTTTGGAATTAGAAACCTTACATTTAAATTCTGATTTTGTTGATAACTAGCTAAGGTTAATGAATAAAATGGAAACAGTTATAATAAACTCTTCTGGTTCCAAAGACAAAGTTTAATGTCAAGGAACACTAAGAATTCAGCTCTATTTCTGTTAGGTATAGGTATTTGCAGAATTTCAGCCCTGGCAGAAGTCAGTGACAATTATAAACCGAGTTCTCCTGTGTTTTCTTTTGAGAATTCTGTTTCTCATTCAGCTGCAGCCTCTCATTTTCTGGGTACCCAATGTTTACATTGTTTCCCCTCAAATGCTTCACGTCAGGCCTTCTTGAAAGATCTTCTTTCTCTTAATTTACTCCTTTCCCTTAACTTAAACCTCATTTACTTGGAACACTGGAAACTGTAAACATCTAATTAGATAACCTATGTTAGGGGCCAGGGATTTAGGTCAGTGGTTCCACTGCCTGCCTTGCAAGTGCAAGGTCCCGAGTTTGATCCACAGTAACAACAACAACAATAAAAAGATAACCTATGTTAAAATTCGAACTGCTAGTAGTGTTGTATCTTTGTGGCACTCACAGATCCTAAATTGATCCTTAAAATCAAAACTTAGTTATGTAATATATTGTTGTTAATTATATTCACTCTACATACATCTCAAGGTAGTTAGAAGAGAGGATTTTGAATGTACTCATCTTAAAGAAATGATAAACATTTAAAGTGACAGCTACATTAGTTACCCTGAGTTGATCATTGCCCAATATATACATGAATCAAAACATCACTTTGTACATCATAAATATGTATAAATATTATTCATTAATAAAATGATAAAATAATTTTTTAAAAACTAACCCTGGTGTGAATGTCTCAAGGTCCTGGGCAGATGCCACTTGTCTCACTTGCAGTCTCAGCAGATGGAACAGCTGCAAGACAGATTATGCAGCTCAAGTCCTAGTAGGGAAGCAAATTCTTTCAGACAAGACCAAGCAATGAGAGTTTGTCATGAATTTGTAACCTTTTGAATGGGTATAATCTAGATCCAAAAAGAAAATCAAACACAGAAACTTAAAAATATTTGAAACTTGGTTTTCTTTGAAGCACAAACAGCAAAGCACTTTTTAAAACTGAATCCAAAATTTTATTGCAAAAGTTTTATGTCAGTTTTGAGTATAAGCTACATATAGAAATTTCATCCATTTGAGTTCATTTCTATAATTTTTTTCAGTGCTGAGATTAAAACAAAGGATCTCGTGAATGGTAGGCAAGCATTCTACTACTAAGTTATATGCCCAGCCCCTGAATAATTTTGACAAATATATGCAGTCAAATGATCAGCATTCTGATCAAGATGTAGACACTTATGTCATTATCAACAACAACAGCAAAATTAGATCATACCTCTTTATAGTATGGGCTGACTTTGATTGAACCACATGGCAGATTTTATTAAATTAAAAAGAAAAGAAAAACAGACTTCCTGGTGGATTAGGTGTAAAGCATAGGGTAAAAGAGCTAAGAACAACTCTAAGCTTTTGTCCTCAGAAACTGGGTACACAGATGTGCCACTGTTAGGTAGGGATGACTGAAGTTATATGGTAAAAATCAATAGATCAGTTCTAGATATCAAAGAGGGTTAGTGGACTATAAGACTGGCCTATAAGATTGGCCACAACAAAAACAAGTAGATGCTTATTGAAATAACAATGGGGTACAATTTTACAACTATTAATTTACTAATCATTGAAATATATAATGCTATCCAACACTGGTTGTGTTGGGAGAACTTGTATATGCACCAACTGCACGTGCCAATTCAGGTAAGAATTTGAAGAATGGTATGAGAAGCCAGGAATTTTCCATCCCATTTTAACCCTCTTATCACAACTCTGGGAATTTATTCTTAGGGAACTTAAAAATTAAACCAAATAATACAAAAAAAATCAGAAAAATATTTTACTTGCATCAAATGCTCACTGCAAATTTATTTGTAATAATAAAGCACAGGTATAATTTAAATGCCTGGAAAAGGAGAGTGTATAAACTAAGTATGGTGCATTTTGATAGAGTATAATAGCAGTAATAGTGTTTGGCACTAAGGCACAGCTTACATTGTCCCATTTTATCATCATGACCTACGACACAGATACTTTGAATCTATCCTCAGTTCACAGGTGAGAAACATGAAAGATATACTGATATCATGTAGCCAATTAGTGGTAAAGATAAAGCCTAAACACAGTAAGATAACTCCAAAGCCCAGGTTCTTATCCCTAAATAAGAACAAACAGTATGTGTGCATATAGTGAAAGACCAGAATTAAAACAAAAGTAAACATACTTTAATTTTGGGTTTTTCCACTAGGGTTTCTCCTTGTAAATAACCTCACTATACCCTTAGCTGGTTCAGTCTATGTGCTATTCCCCCTTATGCTGGAGTATAAGTCTTAATAAAGTTTTTCAATGGCATATTTTTGTTCATTTGTGATTTGTATCTCAGGTGGAGCATGATGAGCCATTACCCTAAGAGCTGGTCACACCAAAGGCCCCGGGTACTACTGAAAGGAGCCAGCACTAGAGCTGATAACACTAAAGACTACCAGTGCCACAAGGAGTCAGCAGCCAGAGCTGGTAACACTGAGGGCAGGAAGCAGCAGAGGATGGCAGGGAGTGGTAGAGGACTGCAAGAGCCACCATCTCCAGTGGTCATAAGAGTTCCAAAGAGCTGCTGGTGGTTGATGGCTCCCCCTGGTGAGGAGGGCCACTAACCCTGGGAGTTCATCGCCACTGGCACTCAAAGCCCAGGGCTTTTTCCATTAGGAGTTCATTAATGGCTTTGCCAGATACACTTCCTATTAGAGTAACAAAAAGAGGTTGAGTAGAAGGATCTTTCAGAAGTCAGTTATGTATGGAAGAAAATTGCACATATTTTTGTTTGAAGAGAATCAGGACCAAGTGATCTGAAGTGACACAGGGTGGTTCTGGGGGCCAGAAAAAGAGGAAAATGAAGATAGAATGGGGATGAGAGGAAATCGAGAAAATGCAAAGACAGAGGAGGGGAGGGTGAGAAGGGGAACAGATGAGAGGAGGGACAATATTGAAGGGATGAAGAAAGAATGAAATGCAGTCTGGAGTGTAGTGATTTATATAGCCTCTTTAAAATATTTACTGAATTAAAAGTATTGATTGAAAAGTTCGGAATCATCGCATGATCATTATTTCAAGGGGCTCTTTGTTTTGTTTTCTCACCATATGTGCATATGTATGTGCATATAAAATGAAAATAGCCTTTTTCATGTGTACATATATCTACAGATAAATATATACCTATACTATACCTATACATTCAGAAAGTATAGTAAATAATTACGAAGAAAATAAAATAATATGAAATACTCTCTAAAAACTGTAGTTAAAATTTAATCATACAGCCTTTTACTTCTATTGTTCACACATGCACACATACTTAAATTCACTTTTCTTTCTACAAATACATCTGTAATTTCCTTTTTGTCACTCAACACTGTGTTATGGCCATTCAAGTTAATAAACATCTTCTCTTGAATAGTTACATAGTACCCTGCTGTGTGGACAGATATGATTTATTTAATCCATTCCCTATTGATGGGCACAGGGCTATTTTGAATTCTTAATTACTATAAATAACATTGCAATGAATATCAGTATGCATAAATCCTTTATAAATGTTCCTTTATTTCCTTAAGATTAACTCACAGGTAAAAGTGCAGGGTCAAAGAGCATATACTTTTGTAAAGGCTCTCCTACACAAATTATTTAAGTGCTTTCCAGAAAGTGGGTAAACAGTATTTTCTCCCACCGACACAGAGTGAGGATGTCTGCAACCTCACACCTTGCTGATTTGGGGTGTCAAACTTCTTTATAATTTTTCTGATAGCTACTGTTGAAATACACATTCAAAATCTCCCTTCTCATTCCACCTTGCCTCAAGAATATATAATTGGCTTCAGAAGTATACTGAAACTTCTGGAGGATAATCCTAGTGGTAGGAAGTAAAATGAGACTTATTTTTAGAGTTTATCCAAAAGACAGAGAAAATTGAAGACCAGCAAGGCAAAGCTATATATACTATGTAACTATATATTTTATTCCCTCTAATTAGAAAATGGAATAATTGAACCTACAAAGATACTTCTCAAGTATGTAAAAAACAGATTGTAAACAATCAAAGTAGCCACACATTTTTCCCTCTGTGTGAGTCTAAAATTCTGTCAAAGTTTTGTTCATTTTTGTGTATTTTTTAAAAGAACAAATATGAAGACACTGCCTTTTAATCTATTGAAAATAAACCTGAGAATTTTGAGAAAAAGTTTCATTATTTGAACTCTGGTTTGAAGTTTGGGCTAATATTTAGGTATTAATTTAATTCTAGACAAACTACAGAATTCTAGCAATTTATTATAGGTCGAATTTGCTATGATGGAGGCACTAATATTTCTTCCAGAATTTTAGCAGAGATTTAAAATATATATTTACAACACTTAGTCATTTCCCTTAAAAAATAAAATCTTTGCAGACTCCATGTAAAGTGGCCAGATGCCTAATTAGGAATCCTGAAACTCAGCTGTATTGAATTAATAAGTACCACGGCTAGTATTAACCAGAATATCCCATTCCTCAACAACGAGAGAAAAATACTTGTAAGTTTATGAAATGAGCTGTCAAAGAGTATTAGTGAATTTCTAAATAAGAACATTATATTTTCCTGTTCTTGCTAACCCATTCCATGGTCAGAAATCAAACCATGCCCAAATTTCTCTGTCTTATTTTTTTGCTTTTCACCCAAAAGCCTGTCACTCTTAGGAATTCTCCACCCCACCCTGATCCCTGCACTAAAACTTTCTATGATTGCTTTCAGGCAAGGAAATGTTACAGATTGTTGGAATTTATGACTTTTTATATCTTTAAGGACAGAAAACTATTACCTGTCTTTTGATTGTGTGTGGGACGTGTGTGTTTGTGTGTACTATTTCCCTATTTTAGAAAAGTGTTTTCTCTTTGTGTTATATTGGTAAATCAAAATTAACAAAATTTCAGAAATCTTAATAAGTAACTTGATCATATTTCCTACAGCTGAAAATAACATAGAGTCATAAATACATATTATTAACTTTTAATAACATGCTGTACAACGTGTAACTGATGTACCTTACGGGGAAAGTCTCAGACTGCTGTGATATTTATTTATTTATTTATTTATTTATTTTGGTACCAGGGATCGAACTTGGGACCTTTCGCTTTCGAGGCAAGTGGTGGGACCACTGAGCTAAATCCCTGGCCCTGCTGTGATATTTAGTAAATTGCTAGAGTTCTGAAGCTTAGTTATCCAATGTTAAAGTAACTCACATTATCACAAATCTTTCTGCTTATTTCCAAGAAGCAAATGCATTACCATTTTGTTAGGAAAGACAAACCCTATAGAAATAAAAGTACTATAAAAAGAATGGTTAGTGCCTAGTTCTGAGTTAACAAGACATTCAGTCACCAGATGTGTCCTAAGGCCAAAACACTTACTTGATGAGTGCTCTGTGGGTATCAGCTGTTATTGACCACATACTGCCTTGATTCAAATCCCCACTCTGCCCTGATGTGATTGCTTCACTTCTTGAGGACTGTTTCCCCATTTTGTCTACTCCCTAGGATTGCTGTTAAGATTCACATAAATGCTCAGAAAAGAGTCTACCATACAGCGAATTCTTATTAAATGTTATTTTTCATTTTATTTTAGGTGGTTTTCTTTTTAATTGACTTAATAATTGTACATATTTAGTTACAGTACAACATTTAAATCCAAGCACACATTGTATAATTATTGTATAATAATCAAATAAGAATTTAGCATATCCACGACCTCAAAAATTTCAATCATTTATCATTTCTTTGTGATAAGAAAGTTCAAAACCCTTACTTCTAGCT